CTAAAATGTGACAGACACTCCAAGAGACCTAATTGTTTATTGGAAAGTTTCTGACAGGCTTATAATTGAAATAATAATCAGGATAACCTCCTTGGCTGGCAAGTAAATTTTTGAAACTTTCAAAGCTGATGAAATAGAATCTGCCCTGGGCTTGTATAGCTTTTGGCATTGCACTTTCCCAAGCAGCAAAAGCGCATCCAAATGATATATGGATTTTTTAACGTAGTCAACAACAAACTAGATTGTTTCTGTCAATCAGTAATCAGGCAAAGTCGGTTTTAACTTTGCTACCCCTGATACAAGCTTGATTTATCATATGAAGGAGAGTAATCCTTTAGAATGACAGTGATATTAATAAAATCAGACTACTCTTAGGGAAAATGCTATCGCCAAGTATTCAAGTAATGAGTTTTCTAAACAGAATCATCTAACAATTATCACATACCAGCTTTAATCCACTTCAGTTTTGTCACAGTTGGAACTAAGAGGCTCAGTGCCTTTCTTTTGCCTGGTAAAGAATCAAAGATGACCGTGTTGTCTTGAGGGTGATCGAGATGATTTTCCAACTTGTAGGCACAGGTTTGCTAAGTGGTCCTTGCAACCTAGCAGAGTATGGTTTCTCCTGTCAGACAGGAATAGAGTCTTGTCCTCCCAGTAATTTAAAACAATAGATGCCAGATAATATTATCCCCCAATAAATCTCTTGCTTGTGGTCTCCAGAATGGAATAAACATGTATTTGTTAATCAGTTTAAAGAAAGGAAACGCCCCTACATTGTCTGACTGAAAGAGCACACCTGCACTTCTGACCATTTTGCTTGGCCAGTGGGGTCTCCCTGTCCCTTTCCTAAGTCCACCTTCAGCTCGGTTTATCCAGCACGCTGATGTTTGGCATCAATTAGCTGGAAATGACATCAGTCACTGCTCAGTCCTTGTTTTATGGAGTCATGGCGACCAGATATACACAAATACTTTCGTTTTCTTGGCATAGGAGGCAAAGAAAGACAGCACCATTTCTGCTAATCCGTAACTCACTGATTGATGTTAGGAACTTGAATATCCAGCTTTCTGTTTTAAAGAAACGCTTGTATATGTTATTCGCAAGTCAATGTAATAAATACATACAACGTACCCCACATGTCTGAAGCTGAGTTAACTAAAACTGTAAAGGCCATGTTCATATTCTTTCACATATGATTAATTGATACTGCCCAGAAAGTCCCACTGCAGAAGTCCACATGCCTTATAACTGAAATATGATAGTGCATAAATTGCAAATCTGAAAATTCCATAAAACTGTTTCCTAAAAATAATTCCAGTCTAGCACCCTCAACATTTGTATGGTGAATTGAATTCCCTTCCATGGCAACCAGTGTCCAAATGCTATAATCCAGTCATTTTAAATCTTGAAAAACTCACTCAGAAGTGAGTAACATCAAAATTCAGCTTTTGGTTATGTGATTAGAAAGTCTGACTTTTAAATCATCATAAAGATCTGTGGTTTCTTGGTCACTTCTGAAAGAACTACTACATTTCCTGACTAGAGTTTATTTCCCCATAATATGATGTCTGGTAGGTGACTATACCAGAGATAATTTTTCAGAGCTCTACAGACTAACCCCAAAAATGACCACATAAGAATGTAGAGCAGGATAGGCCTAGCAAGATAGGCTCCACTAGTGATCTGTTTGTAGATTATAAGCATCATCAACATTGATAACATAATGTGACCCAGGCTTTTATACCAGCACCACTGGCTTATTTGAAGCCGTGAATCACAGGGTACCCATGTCCCATTTTGATTCTGCTTTGACTACCTGGAACCATGTGAAAAGTTTCTTGTAGTTATCTGACTTGGATTTTTCAAAGTCACTTTCCAAAAAAGAAAAATTACTCCCTAATCTAAGCATATCTATAAAACTGAGTTGCTTCCTATAATGCTTGCTTTGAGAATCTCAGTGGTTATTTTAGACACCAGAGTGTTTTATTCTAATAACTTAATAGATAAAATCAATACAATATTGCTGTTATAGTGTTTATATGCTCTAAAATTTATTCTGATCTGTTTCATAATCTGTACTTTGTTCTGAAGTTGTATTGTCTGTTATGCTTTGTTCTAGAAGTTTTGCAGCAGGTTTTGGCTAAAATCATGCGAAGCTTTTACTTCAGTCCTTTCCTTTTGAAGAACTAACCATGCATTTGAGGCTGCCTTGGGCTCAAAAGATTCAGGGGCTGGGCTGAGGTGGGAGGCATTAACAGGAAAAGAGGTACAGAAGATGTGTGCCAGTGAGAAGTAATTTTATATCTAAGAAAAGAAATAATGCAGTATGATGGCCAATGATGCAGTGTGAAGAAGCAGGCCACTAACTCAGAAATCATGGTGTCAGCTGGCTCCTGTGAGTGAGACAAGAGGAAAAAAGCTTGTTAAATCACCATTATTCTGGTTGAATCACCAACAGGTTCTTAGAAATTGTGGCTTTAAGCCAAAACAATGCATAATAATCTCAGGTCCTCGGAAGTTGGCTGAGTTTGCTTTTTCCTCATTGATGTTATAAAACGTGACATTGAATAAAATTTTATTCGAGGACCTGTTGTAGTTGAAGCTGGCAAAAACCAAAACATGGCTGAAGTGAACCATCAGGTGAGATGCGTAATAGTACTGGAAGAAAAAGTAAGAGGATAAGCAGAATCCTAATTAATTCAGTCCCAACAGAGACTCACCAGGACTCATTTCCCTAATACAGCATAGCACCTGTCTGAACTGTAAATTCGCAGAGTATTCAGCCTACGCACAGTAAGTGATAAATAACTGGCAGAAGTTTGAGGCGAATTGTGGAGCTTTAGAGTATAGATTTATTTTCATAAGTAAAAGATTAGCAGATATTAGAAAACTGTGTTCACTTTAAAAGATATAGAAGGGTCAGAATGAGAAAATTTCAGTGACTCTGTTAAGTCAGACACCAGACTCAGGAGAGACAGCAGTTGACTTTGATTCTACTGAATCAAATTAAACTTTTAAGCAAGCCATGTCCTGCTTACTGGATACCTGAGCTGTGATTTATGTGAATGGCTTCACCTGGAAAATGTAGCCGTTCTCCCGACTCTGACCTTGTGCTTTCTTAAGGCAAATAATTTCAAAGAGCACTAGCAGCTGATTGAGCCAAGTGAATGTACTGAAAGGTGGGTCTGCATTTTCAGAGAATTGCAGTGGTAAAAATCAGCCAACAAGCTATGACACCAAAGAGCAGTTAAGAGGCCTGTATAGATTTTATATGTATGGAGGTAACGGAATTCTTGTACAACTGTGATGAATAAAAAGTCTACTTGGCAGTATTTGACAAATATCTAGGTGTAAGGAGAGCAAGGACAAGTTAAATGTTGCTACCCGTGTGTGGCTGTAGCTCCCCATAAAATACAAAGTTTAACAAATATCATTGGGGTAGCCCTCTTTGTCAAGTACCATGCTTTCTATGAGAGCTTGCTTAAAATCTGACCCTAATGTTAAAATGCTCACTTTTAATATAAACAGTATGCTTTTGTCTGTTTTACTGTTTTCTCTTAATTTTTTTTTTTACTGCTGCCTTTTGCCTGTTAAAATTATCATTAGAAATCCTGAGGCTAGAAGTTTAATATAAATGCAGAAAATACCTGGTGTGTCATTTCAGGGAATAGCAGAATAAAGACAAGATCCCATAGGTCACAACCTTTCTGAGTGTCTAGATTATATTCAACCCAGGTAAAGCACAGAAAAGACTTTTGCATGAAAATACCATTGAAATGTATGCCTTTGTTACATGCTGTAGAATAGCATGCGTCATTTTTTAAATGTAAAAATTGAGAGGTGGAGAGGCTACTTTTATGAGCATATTAGCCAAAAAAAGAAAAAAAAATAAAAAAGAAAGAATGGTATTTTAGCACCTTTATTACCAGTTGGTTTCCTGATTTCCATTCCTGAGCAAAAATTGCTCTTTTAGGCATATGAATTATGGATTAAACTAAAACAGCAGTGTGGAAATCTTTAGGAAGATTTTTGAAGATTAAGGCAGTATTAGCATTTTATAGAAGTATAAAGAGGAAATACAAACCTGATAGCAATACCCAAAGGGAGAAAAAAATGTAGCAGGGAACACATTTCCCTCATTTGTTGGTTTTTTGTTTTTTTTTTTATTTAAATTGAAATAGCTAAATGGATATTAGAGAAGTTTTCTAAACCCAGCCCCCACCAACCTCTTCATAAGTTAAGAAACTACCAGCTTCTGCACCCAAGGGTTCAGGATTGGCAAAGAGTGTTGGAGTAGAAGGAAAGTGAGCAAATGCAGGGCTCCAGGGCCCACTGATCCTGAGGAAGCAGCTGCAGGCAACTACCTCACTGGCTGATGTGTGTTAATAGCATGAGGCCCAGGATTGGCCTCTCCGAGGTTCCTGAATTCATAAGCCAACATTTTTAAAGACACATGTCCTTGATACCATTAAGTCAGAGAGCAACAAAATTACTGGTTTAGATGACTGCTGTAGGTTTTCTGGTGATCAGCATCACACATTAACTACTTATGTTCGTTTAAAAAAGAAAAATAAGCCTAAAAAGAAATAAACCAAAACATTTGCAGTGACTTCTCTGATGGTCAAATTAGGATTCAATTTTTTATGTTGAATTCTTTAAATATAATTTCTAACGTGTTTTACAGTGATTACAATTTGATGATTATGCTGAGAAATAGCTATTTCTGTTCCCCAAAATACTAAAATGTATCTCGAAATTCAGGTGCTGTTTTTGTCTCCCTAATCCATCAGCTATTTCTAAACAGTAGCAAGAGTGATGGTGATAGAGGGCACTTAAAAAATAATTAGCAAACTAAACATTGAAAGGTGATTGATTTTTCTTCTTTAAAGAAATAGATTTTTTTTTGCCACCAAAGTCAAGGAGGATAAAATTGATTAACGATATTGATTTAAAATACTTCGCATGAAGGCCCTGTAATATATTACACGCATCACTTAGATTCCAGATTGTCACTGTTTATTGAGAGCCTGTTGAGGCCTTCCAGGGTGCATTTATTATAAGTGCTTTTGAATGCAGAGCAGATCGCTCCCGGCATACAGGTGGTGTTCTGCTAGTGACACTTGAATGCTTACAACTGCATGTTTTTGTCTTACAGAGTTGTCTTGGTTCAACTGGTGCCTTCCCGGGTCGTGTTTGCTCAGTCTCCTCCTCATTCTGTGCTTCAGGGAATCCTATGACAGACTCTATCTTGATGTGGTTGTCTCAGTTTAATAGCACAGACTTGAAGGAGTTTAAAAAGAGACTGGAAATCAATACTGCATACTGCACATTTGCTTGGAATTGCACATCTAACAGGAAAAAAAAAGGAGAAGAGAGACACTTCATTCAGAGGTTTTTATTAGGTTACAGATGATCACATGAATTTAATTACTACTAAGTAATAATAATGTGGGACTTGAGTGATAAGGGACTTAAAAACTATGAACGGCATACCTGTGCCTGATTCTGCATTGAAATTGTGATATCTTACACATAAATCACTACCTAAATAATACCCTCTATGTTTTGTGCCAGTGCTAAACTACTGATTGATAAATTGTAATTATGAAAGGAAATAAGGGGTCTGTCACATGAAGATAACTCCTTCCCTAAGTCACACAGAATAGGAAGAAATGCCGCTAACTTCTGAAGAAGTTTAAACCCTGTATCAGATTTTAATTATAAAATAGCCATAAGGTCTATTGATGAATAGAAATTAGCCACATGTACACTACATTTTTTCTAATAAAGCCATTTCTTATATGACTCCTTTTAATTAGGTCGGAAACCTTTGGCCATCTTTATTACAGTAATCAAGTGCTTTCGGTGACTGCAGAGCACATACTTTGTGTCTTGATCTCAGCTTATCCTTGTTTCTGTGAAATACAGTTTCTTCTACTAGGCTGTTAAATAATTAAAGGTGACTAAGTGTTTAATATAGTTGCATTACATATTGTATAAAAATGTAATTACATTCTGATTTAGCACTTTGTTAAAAGTGACATGAAAACTCACATAGAACATTCTGTGTCTTCGACATATATGTGTGCATATATACACATAGACATATACACACATGTGTGCATGTGTATATATGTATGTGTTATATATATATGATTTCTATATATACATATATACATACACGTGTATATATGTATGTAGTTGCATTGGGTATAAAGTCCAAATATTACTTACCAGGGTTAGGGTTACATTTTATTAAATGACCCTTGTTTGAAAATAACAATTTATAAAATTGAAACTTTCAGATCTGTGGAGTGATTTCTGAATTACATTCTTGTATTTCAATTCAGGTTGTAAAACATTCAGTTCTTTATAGGTCTGTATATTTGAGAGAGCAGTATTTTGCCAGTATCTCTTTTTTTCTATGGATGACGGCTTTTTAAAAAATAGCAGTTACTCACTGGATTGCTCTCAGGCATGTATTTTACTGTGCTATAAAATATGCTCTGGTGTGATTATGATATTGCCACTATTCACATTTACATTCTCCCCCTCCCACAGAAAAACCAACTACTCTACCGAAAAGTCAAGAAGGATTTTTTACCTTCATTATTCCCAGCTTCCTCCAACTCCCTTTCCTTTTTAACTCACTTTAAATCATATCTTCATTGTTGTCTAAATACATATTTTAGTTGTCTTTTTATGGACAGACGATAAGCCAGCTCCTCCTCTTGGCCAAGGTGATAAGGTGTGGTGAAAGGAGAGCTGGTCAGCGCTGAATTCTCTTCATCTCTGTTCACGTGCACACACCATCACACACAGTCCCAAATATTCTGCTTTCCCTCTCATTAAATTCAAGACTACGCTTTAACTCACCTTGGTCCTAAAAGAGGATTCTATTACTGTGACCTTTCTCCTACAGCCCTAAATTGTCAAGTTGGAAAGTAGGAGAACCCTCACATTTAACATCTATCCGCAGTTTCCTTTAAATCATCTCCCTTGATAAGCCCCCTGCTCATTTAGCAACAAGAAATGAAGGAAAAGGAACTTGCTCAAGGAAAAAAGAATACCTGTGAAAGCTAAACTTAGCTTTCCTTTTAACTCTGTCATTCCTAAATAAAAAGAAAATGAAGAAAGCAGAATTCTGGAGGATAGCTGTAAACTGGCCTTTAAGGAGATTAGTAGCCCATGACCCAGGTGCTAATATAACTACCATCCCTTCCTGTTTGTAAAGAAGACAGAAAGGATAGGAAAACATTATATGAAGTGTGGTTTTTAGTCAGAACTATTGTGTTTGAGGACATTGCTGTAGAAAATTCTGCTGAAATACGGGTTCTGATTTAGAATATTTTAATTATGGCTAATTCTGCAACGTAAAGAGTAACACATTTAAAATATCATGTAGATAACTAATTTGTTCAAAGACACCCCAAGTAGGTAGTGATTGAAAATTCTTCTGTTGTACCAGACACCGACCATTGTTCTCAGCATATGTGAAATGAAATGAATCCAAGTCATTTATATCAGCTAAATTGTTTTAATCACAAACGGCAACCATTTTTAAGTGATTAAGATTTCACATCCCAAACCTGACAAAGGAAAGAACCAAAGGCTTAGGAGGAGGGGAGGATTATGCATTATTTATTTGTCTGAATATTTCAAATCGTATTTTTTCAAACTTTGTTTTTATTTCTGGAAATTTTGCATCAAAAGAGACTAGCTACTATCTATCTTGCAGTTCCTAAACATTATGAATCCTAATGAAAATTTAACTGAAAGAAATCTTAACCTTCCACTAAATTCTTTTTTTTTTAAGATTTTATTTATTTTTGCTTGGAAGAATTGGGGTGCAGGCCAGAGGTGTGGGGTGGTGGTGAGAGGATTCACCAGGGACAGAATGGGGAGCAGAGCAGGCAGATCTACTGAAATACACTAGTGAGGGGAGCAGCAGGCAAGACAGGAGAGGTCTGCTATGCCATGTGTGTTAGCTCCCTGACTGGGAACTGAACTCAGGCCATCTTGGTGGGCCTTCCCAGTGGTAGCACTGAGGCTTAAAAACAGTTGCAGAGAGTGAAGGATCTTGGAGAAGGTCCCAAGCCTAGTCAAGCGACAAAAATAGGGCTAACAAAAACCCCACATCTTCTGACTCCCACAGCAGTGTCTTATTCTACCTCACTTATTTGTTGCATAATTTGGACATTTTGGGTGTCAGTGAACATCCTTCCATATCCAAACACAATGGGGCTTAAGAGTTAACTGCCATTATTGAGTATGAAAGAAAGTACAGAGATTAAATTGAGGTGATTATTTGGCTTTTATGTTAAAGTATTCTCTTTTCTTCACTGCTTTCTTGTTGGTGCTCTACCATCCCTAAGTCTTAGCTTGAAATGACGTGATGTAAAAAGATTCTGAAAGATAGTTCAGTTCTCATTAACCAAGTCAACAGCATTGTTAATTGGTAAGGGCATATTATAGTGTACTGTCCCTGTGGCTTATCAATGAATATTTCACATTATATGGGAGGAAGTGTTTCTTAGTATAGCCCATGGTGGCCCTACAGGAACAAGACAATTGCACACAAATGCATTTCACTGGCAGGTGGTACTGATAAAATAATAAGAGAGAATTAAGTACAAATGTGATTTTGTATATTTAACATAGATGGTCTAAAAAGCAAATTTTATCATAGCGCATATATATTCATTTTTAATTACTGAGAATGATTCACAGCTTGTTTTTGTGAGGCCCTTCTAATAAGGAATTCAAGTTAAAGGGTTTTTAGTTGAAGAGATTAAATTCCCATCTACTTATTTTGATTCATTTTTTACTATTATTTTTACTAAAATCTAGACATTCATCTTCCTATTTGCATAAGTGCAAACTTTATTTTAAACTCAAGATCAAATACAAATGCATAGTAAATTTGCTTTAAGTTAATGTTAAAAATCATTAATTCCATATTTGTCCTTGAAATAAACACAGAAACTGCTCTGATCACACCTGATATCAAATAAATACAAAGGCTGTGATGTAAAGAAAGTGCCATATTTTAATAAAAATCTGTAGCAAACTATGACTAAATTTGATTAAATCTATTTTATAAATGTAGGGGGAAATTTCCACTTTAATTTGGAATTATAATTCTACAGAAAGGGAAACTATAAAGTTAATTTCTGAACATTCAGTTTGTTACTCTGTGAGGAGATATAAGCAATACTGAGGGAAGTATTGGACCACCCTAGAACAAAACTTGACGGTGAGATTATGGGGGGCTCTTAACAGCGTCATGGAATACTTGGTACTCAATAGGGCTGAGCGTCTGCTCGGTCAGCAGACATCTTGGCCATCCTGAGCTCTGGTTTCTTTTTGGGTGTCTTCCCTGCTCAGTTGAAATTGCAAACTTAGGAGATAAACTTGAGGAAATGATATCAAAGGCACTTAAGAGACCCTTGAGGTGGTCATCCTGCCAAGGAATATGAAAATGATAGGGCTGCGGGCGGAGAGCACAGGCTGTGAGATGGCCCTTAATGTCTCCCCTCGACCATGCTTCTTTTAAAAACAATTTAAGTTTGTCAGGATGAAGTGAGGTCAACCTCTTGTTTCTCTTAACAGTTTGCCCTGCCTAATACTAAAACCTAGGCTTCATCCATTTGAACAGCATGCTCATACAGCCGCTCCACAAAATTATTCTCACAGCCAGGTCTTAGATAATTGCCCTGCAGCCACAAAGGTCTCTAATAGGTTTCCGTAGTTGGGCTTGCTGTATTTTAGATATGAATTCATTAAGTTGTCTCATGAAGTCCTTCTAAGGTACCTTTGGAAGCTGGTAGTCTTCAAACAATAGCTTTACATCTCAGCCCATACTCAAAAAGAGAGCAAAAAGTTACCCCACCCCAACTGTTCTGTTCATTCAGCATAGGAGAATTAGTTTGTTTTTTTTTTTTAAAAAAAAAACAACTAAAAGAAAGAAAGCATGGAATTCATGTCAGCAACTTTGGTAAAATAATAAAAACACATCATACCATTTTAGCTCTTGTGCTGGACTTGGTACACTGAGGATTGGGTCTCTAGAAGACCAACCCCACACACAGTGCTCGCAGGTTCCCTCCTGGCTCCTGTGGTTTATGAGGGAGGTTTCTGCAGTTTTGAACAAAATGCAAAAATGACTTAGAGACATTTCTCACTTACCTTAATGTTCGAAAATGGTAGTAATTTAGACTTCCTCTAATTCATCAGCTTTCTTCCCATTTACCCAGAAGGATCATACCCATATCCATATTAGATCATCAAGAGATCATCTAATACAACCACTTGACTTTACAAATAAGTAAGCAGAATCTTCTATGTCAAATGGCACAGGTTTTAGCAGGTTACCCAACATCTAGACCAGCATTGTCTCCATAAAGAAATGTATTAAATAAATTCTTGTAAGTAAATTTTCTTTCATTTCTTGTAATTTTTGAAATCAAACACATACATGAACGTATATTATTAAACACCTAGAACAGAAATATAACGTGAACTCCACCTCCTACGGTCATGTGCTGGATAATTCAACTTCCTTTCCAGACCCAATGCCTATGAATCCTTTCAGAAATTTCTCTATGCATTTACATGCATATGTATTCAAAACTTAGATGGGATTTAAAATCAAATCATCTTGGGAACTATTTCTTAGAACATATTGGCATAAACTTTTGGGACACAAGCAGAAATTTCTTAGATCCTTCTCTCCCCAAAGGAATCTATAACAAATGCAGTAGTGATTCACAAAGACACTTCACAAACTTGTGTCATACCATAAAGCTCTATCATATTCTAAGATCTAATAGGTAGTATTGTTTATCTTATTGAAAATATAGTTTCTGCTTTTTATGCCATCAACTGGTTGTGCCGTGTACTGTGAGAGGAGAAGTTGAATGACCCACCTCCAAAATCCAAATCGGTGTTCTTGACAGGTCTTCCATGTCTCCCTGTATCAGTAGAAGCATGTGATACTGTAAAAAAGCAGAAAGTTGAGAGAATAAGCTCATGCAATTCCATTTTAAAAAATATAATAGTTGCGGGGCAGGCAGGTAGAAGAGGTAGAAAAATAAGTAATAGCTGAAAATTCTGATAATCCTTACAGTTTTGCTCGTCACCTTCCTTAGCCATTCTGACTTTCACCAGTAAAACTGATGAGTTGTAATAGGAGAAGAACGTAACTTCATTTAATCAATTCCTCCTTTCCTGCCCTCTTTTTTAACCGACGTTCCCTTTCTGCTTGTATCCTGACAATTCTTGGGAGCACTCTGTGTAAGGCCCAGACTTCCTCAGCTGCTAGCATCAGGGAGGAGAGCTGATCAAGCAGTTTCTTCATGAACTAAATAAGAGAGAACACAGAGAAAGAGCCCTGGCCTGCACACCCCAGGGCCTGGCTCATGTCCCAGACCTAGTGTCATTAGCTGTTTGACCTTGAGCAAGTCGCTTCATTTCTCATTTAACCCCATCTCCAAAATGAGGAAGTGAACAAAGCTGTTCCCTGAGGACTCTTCTAGTTCAGAAATTCATATCTGTTCTATTTTAAGTATTTAAAAAATGAACAAAGCACCTGCAGTCTGCATAGCTGCAAGCCTCCCCATATCTTCATGTTCCTGTTTGTGCAGTAGCTCCTCTTCCTGTGAGTCCCTGTTGGTGAGCTCATGGAACATTACATTGCACGTACATTCAACAATGGCAAGAAATGGTGGGGGTTTTTTTGGTGTGCTATTTACTTCCCTGGAGGACTTTGCATATGAAATGTAGGGGGTTATTAAGTGTATCAGATGCAAAAAGAAAATCTGTCATCTAACTTGAGATAGCATTCTGGCAGCGAGGTCCAGTCCTGCACGTGCTGGCTAGAATTGGGCCACACCACGTCCCCAGCCTGTGCTTGGGTTTGAACCGTGGTGAGTCAGCAATGGCTCTGCACCTGTGGAACTCAGACTGTCCAAGCAGATGGTAAAGCTGATCCTGGAATTTCTATATCTAGTATGATGGCACCAAAAAATTGTAGTTGTTTTGCAATGAAGGTCATCTCTCCAAGGCCAGATTCTGCCTGTGGAGCTGTGCAAGCAGGGATCTGCACACCGATGTTAATAAGAAAGGATTCTTTCAGACTCTAATGTGGACACTAAAGTCTGATTCAGAGAAATGATCCAAAAACAGATCAGCCTGGGAGCCAGGAGGCCTGGGTCCCCGTACAGCTGCTGCCCCCGTGGGGCCGTGGACAGGCCACCTGATCTCTCTGGGCTTTGGCTACCTCACCTCTAATAGGGTGAGTGGAGGAGATTTTTGGTTTTGTTTTTTGCTGAAAAATTTGTATTCTCTGATCTGCACCTATTGGTCACACAACATCACACACAACAGACAGTAGGAAAAAGCATGCCTGCAATACCTGTCCATCAGTACACCCAGCTAGTCATTATTGTCTCAAACAGGGAGAAACTTTTTTAAGGCCTTGGTAGTTATGTTACAGGTGCCAGGCCATTCCTCAGCTTGTCCCATCCCTTTATTCCTTGGTACATTCATCCTTTAATCACTGTGGCTACAGTGTAAATTGTATGTGTGCAGTATAGGAGAGAATCTGGAAAACAAAAGGAGTTCTTACCTCCAGGACCTCTTAGACAGATTTTAAAAACCAAATATTCCTCAAGACTAACAATTAAAAGGAACAGTGACAGTTTCCCAAATACTAAATTAAACATAGCAGGGACCCAAATGTTTTTCTCATACCGTCATTAGCCATACCTGATTTCAAGGAAGGGATTTTCTGTTCTGTTGAAATACAGAATTTATATCTCTCTGAGAGCATAGGTACAAGAGAAATCCCCAGCCTCCCCACTGTAGCATAGCTGGGGGATGAGTTGTTATTCCTTTGGGAAGTTGGGAATATGGTTGGCTCCTCCAACTTCTTCTGAAGATGAAATTTAACAAATGGGTGCTCGCTGAGATATACACACTCAGAAGCCCCTGTGAGGTTCCTTTCTAAATTTGAATTTTAATGAAGACTAAGCACCAAAAGGAAGGGGTTCTAATGCTAGAACTTGGGATATCAGCCAGCCAGATAGAGAAGGGCTACTTTGGGGGATGGAGACTCTGTAAGCCCCTCAACGCTCTCCACCTGTGAGTGAAGCTAAGCCATGCTTGATGACGGACTAGTGATGTCCCTCCTGAGCCTCTGCAGAGACGCCAAAGAAGGCTAAAAAGGACAAGTTTTAGTTCTGCAGATGATTTTATAGACCACGAATGTCTCCAATTCCAAATTATTTACTTCCCTACCACTACCAGGAATAGACCATTTGAGAGGGCCTATGAAAATTAAGTATTAGAAAAATCTGCCTCCATCCCACTGAATTGCATGCCCCAGACAGGCCACTTTCTGGACCTGCGTGTGTAGCCACCTACTTCTGCTTAGATCTGTGACTCAGGAAGAGCAAGCAGAATGGCCTGCTCCTGGAGACCCGGTAATATCCAGGGGGGTGTTGGGGTGGTCACCTTCTTAATCCTTCCATGAACCACTAATACACACTACACTGATCTTTCTATCAAGCTATTGTTAGGAAATTGTTTCAGTAAATGACGTAAATTGTTTCTCTCGTCCATAAACCCACTATCTTCAACTTGTGTCCCAGAATTTTTGCTCCATGTGCCCAAGAAACTCAATCTCCCTTGTCCTTTTCAGGAAGAAAACATCCATTTATATCTTGGCCCTGACAGTTCACTCTCTTCTATCTCAGAATATAGAAGCCCCTCCATAATTTTTGTCTTTCTTAGTTAGACCCCAAACACAGGAAATTCTATGCTACATTCTGTTGCCCATTAATTGTCCTTCCATCTAATTGGAGGAAAGGTTACTTTGATTACGCAGCTACTATTCACCATCATTATTTCTTTACCAGTATGTTTGTTATCTAGGTCCTGAAATTTATTTTTATTTTTTTAAAACCTTGATTTTTGCTTTTAAAAAATAGACTGTTATCTTCCTTTTGAGTACTTTGTAATATGACTTGAACATAACCGAATAGGCAGGGATTTCATCATTGCCAATATTAAATGTTGGGAGAGGCAGATTTTTTTTATTTAAAAGAAGAGAACTGAGTTGGAGGAAGCTGGGTCTTCTAATTCAACCAGTGTATTTTGGGGTCCTGCTGTATGCTGAGCACAAGGCTAGGCACTGAGGATGCAGAAACAAAGATAGCATCCTGGCCCTCAGGGAACGTTGTGTTCTGATGAGTCCATTCAAATCTATGGGCTTCCCTGGTGGCACAGTGGTTAAAGACAGGGCTATTAAGCTACTGCCATCCACTGCAGCATGAGTTCGATCCCTGGCCAGCCAGGGAGCAATCCACAGGGTTCAGCAGACCTCTCCTGTCTTGCCTGCTGCTCCCCTTAGCAGTGTATTTCAGTCAATCTGCCTATTCTGCTCTCCACTCTCTCTGATCAATGCTCTCACACCCTGCACCTCTGGCTTACACCCCAGTTCTTATATGCATAAATAAATAAATCTTTTTCTAAAAAATCTAGCTACACCCTCAGAGACTATTGGGGGCTTATACCTTATTTGGTAGCTGTCTATGGGATCTTTCTCTGTTCAGAAAAATGTGTTCTAAATCCTGCTTTCTGGGACTGTTAAAAATCTGGGCTTGTCCCTAATCAATGTATAATTACATGTAACCTTGATCAAGTTAAAAATGCCCCTGGACATCCTTTGAAGGGAAAGGCAGAGAAATCTATTTTTGATAATTTGAAAAGTAGAAAGGTTTTTGGGAAAGCTGACAAGCTCCAAAGAGTTCAGATCTGCTGGTGTTCATTCAGATATGGGATTAGGTGGAATGAAGAGCCTCCTAGCAAGGCGGGGGTGTGGGGGGTAGAGCTGTGTAAGGAAACCCAGGAGACGGCGGTGGAAGACTTAGTGCGATAACACCTGGCTCATAGGCATTTGTTAGTATGTGTGCTGAGCAAAAGTAGAGAAGTAGGTTTGGGAGGCAGGGAATTGTTGAAGGGAGTTGAAGCAGATTCTGGAAGACCAAACCCCAAAACTGGCTCGATTTCACTGAGTCATCTGGCCCAGCCTCCTGCCTCCAAGCACATCCTGCCTGCAGCCTGTCTAGCCAACTGCTTTTTCAGCTCTCGAGGGATGGAGGGCCCACAGCCTCCTTGTCATCTGTTCCAGAGCCACTCCCTTGACACTTAGAAGTTCTCACTTTTAAAGAATGGAGGCAGGAGGGGGTGGTAGGGAAATAGAGTAGCAGAGATGAGCTAATAGAAACAAGCAGACCAAATTAGGGCAGAGGACCCCAAAGAAAAAGGAATTTCAGTGGACCTGGAAGTGGGGAAGTAGTCTCCACATTTCACACTTCTGTCACACTGCAAAGTCTATGGGAGTTCTAGAAGGTGTAACCAGTCACTGGGAGCCCTGCCTCACAGATGCCCTGTCTGGCATAGTAGAGGTTCCTCTTCTGCTCTGAGAAAACACGGGAAAAACACTGGGAATCTAGACATCTAGCACCTCCCAAAAGGAACTGTGTTGTATTCAAATGTCTGTAACTTTCACAATCTCCCCACCCTTCTGTCCTCCCGAGAAATGTTCTATAATTGAAGGCATGCCTTCAGTTCTCCATTGTGTTTCATGCATCTGCCAGAGTGGTTACTTTTCATACCCAGCAACTTAGACCCAAGTCAAGTCACCATCTCTTACCCTGTTCAGACTTCTCCATCTGCATCCACCCTTTCAGTCACTCTCAGAAGCAAGCCATAAAGTCTCGCTAACAGAGATCACTGTTCAAAAGTCTAAGCACACGGTGGTTTTGTTCAGAGGCCATGGTGGTTTTGGTCTAACTTTACACCACTCTTAGATTTCCTGGCAGTGACCCTCCCCTCAGCCTTGGACTTTCTTGTTGACTTTCCTTGAGTCTCGTTCGGGTTCATGCCCTCACCTGACCCCACCTCCTAGTCCAGGCTGCACTGAAACCTTAGACGCATGTCAGTCCATGGAGGACCAGAGTCCTTTCCTGTTTGGGATAGGGGTCCACTTAGGAATGATTTTGGGGTGCAACTGCAGCAGTGGCACAAAAGAAGTTCTGACTGCTAGAGTGAAAGGGTACTCCCCCCTCCCTGGGCTGTAGCAGACCCCCTGCTCTGGAATTATAGGTAAGAGAACAGGCAAGGCTGTCCCCAAGAGCTAGGATAGATCAGGTGATCTCCTGGGAGTTTTCCCAGCTCTAACAGCAGGGTCCTCCCTGATGGCTCAGGGGTTAAAGTCAGAGCCATCAAGCTATCGCCAGCCACTGCAACACGAACCAGTTTGATATGGCACAGCAGACCTCTCTTGTCCTGCCCGCTACTCCCCTCAGCAGTGTATTTCAGTCAGT